ATTCCAGGCCCTTTTGTTTTGCACATAATTAATAATACCATTAATTAACAAGTTCCAGGTTGAATCAGTTACCAATATATCGATACCAATAGTACCTGTTACCTGTTACCTAATCTATATGTTCCGCCTAGGTCTGGCGCACCACCAATCAGGGTATATGGGATTTGCTATATACACAGGTCATAATCACACCTGAACTTCGTTATTATACAGGGATTGACATTACTAAATTCAATCATTGATAAAAAAATATCTACAAGTAGTTTCCGATAGTAGTAAGAAAACTAGGACAGATTTAAACAGAAAGATTTTGAAAGCAGAAAAAATTGTGCGCCTTATATAATCAACATGACTTTGTCAAATTATCAAATGACAACACGAATACTAAAAATCTTGGCTGAAAAAAAGGCGTAGGAACTTTAATTCATTCAAGGGCGTGCGATGTCGCAGGTGAGTTCTAGTAAATTCTAAAAACTGACAAGCACAGTGAGAGAATCAGCCTTTCTACGTGGATATAAATTGATTTTGAATGGATTTTTCGTATTCTAATTGATAAAAAGTTAAGTTTGAGGGGAAAATATTGAGAAAAAGGTTATTATCACATACTTTTAAATTTTTACTTTTAAAATCTATTTTTTGACCTGAGCCTTAATGATATGTCTTTTGTAGACCAAATGCATGTCTGGCACAGCAAATTTTTTAGTCATACCCCTGACTGGTCACTGAACCATGAAAAAAAGGTCAAGGACAATAAAGATATGAAAGATAGAAACTTCTTATCATAATATAAGGCATCTTTATACAAGAAATGATGCGCCTGATTAGCATTCCTATAATGTATGTCTTTAGTTTGTCATGTCTTTTAAATCACAGTTTTGTCTGTTTTCTTCGACTTATACTCGCTATAATTTTTTATTGTCCCTTTGGTATCTTCTGTATCTTTTTTTTACATTAATAAATAAAATGCTTCGCTGGGGCGCAGCTTGATACGACTGCAGAGGTCGAACCCTGAACAGTTGGGGCAAGTATGGACACAACATTCAAGCTTGATACAGCACTGAATTTGGATTGTAATGAAATATTTGACACAGCATAGGTTTCTGACACAGAATGAAAGTGGTCTAAGAACTTAAAAATTTTTAATTTACCTATTCAAACCATATCATTATTATTTGCTTTTATATATAAATCAGAAATAACCAATTTAAAATTGAAAATTCTAAAGAAAATAAAATGCTTCGCAGAGCGCAGCCTGATACAACCGCAGAGGTCGAACCTTGAACAGTTGGGGCAAGTTTGGACACAATATTCAAGCTTGATACTTTCTGAATTTGGATTGTGATAAAATTTTTGACATAATATAGGTTTCTGACACAAAATAAATGTGGTCAAAAATTTGAAATGGGACATTCATTTTACCTAGAATGGTCTGATATCCAAAATCTATCAACATGGTTAGATTCAGCATATAAAAAAACACCAAAAATTTAATTTTAGTTGAAATCAATCAAAAGTTTAATTTTGGACCCTTCAAACCTTAATATGGACTAATTTGAAAACAGGGCCCAAAATAAAAAATCTAAATGCACAATAAGATTCAGCATATCATACAGCCGCAATAATTCAGTTTTTGATGAAATCAAACAAAGTTTAATTTTGGACCCTTTTGACCTCAATGTAGACCAATTTAAAAATGGGGCCCAATATCCAAAAAAGTAATACAAGGTAAGAACCACCAAAAATTAAAGACTTTAAATTATTCCCATTGAAATTGGTTAAAAGATTTGTATTTATTTTCAATTGAAGATTTCTTGCTATTGCACAATACTGTGCAATTGAAGATTTCTTGCTATTTCGCAATACTGTGCAATTGAAGATTTCTTGCTATTGCGCAATACTGTGCTATTGCTCAATACTGTGTTGTTGAGCAATAATGTGCAATTAAAGATTTCTTGCTATTGCGCAATACTGTGCAATTGAAGATTTCTTGCTATTGCCCAATATTGTGCTATTGTACAATAATGTGAAATTGCGCAATACTGTGCTATTGCGCAATACCGTGCTATTGCGCAATACTGTGCAATTGAAGATTACAAAAACTTTGAAGAAAAAAAATATGAACCCCAAAAAATTGGAAAAAAAAATCGCACCCCCCCCCCCCCCCCCCCTTTGGAGTAATTACCCCCAAACTCAATCCCAGCCTTCCCTTTGTGGTATGGAACCTTGTAGTACAATTTTAGAGAGATCCATACACTTACACGCAAGTTATTTTTGGAAACAAGAAAAAATGCAATGAAGTTTATTAAACTAAAGTTATTGGCAAATTTCCAATGGAATTTATTAATTATAAAGTTTTTGGCAAATTTCCAATATACATAATTTAAAAGCAGTTTAGGTGAGATAAACAAAAAAGCTTCATCAGCAACATTTTACATTGGCAAATTTCCAATGAAGTTCATTAAACTAGAGTTATTGGCAAATTTCCAATGGAATTTATTAATAATAAAGTTTTTGGCAAATTTCCAATATACATAATTTAAAAGCAGTTTAGGTGAGATAAACAAAAAAGCTTCATCAGCAACATTTTATATTGGCAAATTTCCAATGAAGTTCATTAAACTAAAGTTATTGCAAATTTCCAATGGAATTAATTAATAATAAAGTTTTTGGCAAATTTCCAATATACATAATTTAAAAGCAGTTTAGGTGAGATATTCAAATGAGTTTCAATTACCAACCTTACACTGCCTTTTAAATTATGTTTTGTACTTAAGTAATTATCCATTAACCTGGAAACCCTTTTCCCCCCTTTTTTGCACCTTATTCCTTAACGGTTTGAGCCATAACTCCCAAAGACAATTCTTACCATCCCTTTGTGGTATTGCAATATCCAAAATCTAAATACATGGTTAGATTCAGCATATCAAAGAACCCCAAAAATTCAATTTTTGATGATATCAAATAAAGTTCAATTTTGGACCCTTTAAACCTCAATGTCGACCAATTTGATAACCGGGCCCAAATATCAAAAATCTAAATACATGGTTAGATTCAGCATATCTAAGAACCCCATATACTCAATTTTTGTTGAAATCAAACAAAGTTTAATTTTGGACCCCGATTTGGACCAACTTGAAAACTGGGCCCATAATAAAAAAACTAAGTACATGTTTAGATTCAGCATATCAAAGAACCCCAAGAATTCAATTGTTGTTAAAATCAAACTAAGTTTAATTTTGGACCCTTTGGACCTTAATGTAGACCAATTTGAAAGCGGGACCAAAAATTAAGAATCTAAATACACTGTTAGATTCGGCATATCAAAGAACCCCAATAGTTCAATTTTTGATGAAATCAAACAAATTTAAATTTTGGACCCTTTTGGCCCCTAATTCCTAAACTGTTGGGACCAAAACTCCCAAAATCAATCCCAACCTTCCTTTTGTGGTCATAAACCATGTGTTAAAATTTCATAGATTTCTATTTACTTATACTAGAGTAATTGTGCGAAAACAAAGAAAAATGCTTATTGGGCCCTTTTTTGGCCCCTTATTCTTAAACTGTTGGGACCAAAACTCCCAAAATCAATCCCAACCTTCCTTTTGTGGTCATAAACCTTGTGTTTAAATTTCATAGATTTCTTTTAACTTATATAAAGTTAAAGTGCGAAAACCAAATGTCTTCGGACAACGACAACGACTACAACCCCAACGTCATACCAATATACGACCGCAAAAATTTTGCGGTCGTATAAAAGGAAAAAAAAATCCCCCCCAATCTTTTGAACCCTCTTATGATTCATCACCCCCAAACTCAATCCCAGCTTTCCCTTTGAGGTATGGTACCTTGCAGTACAATTTCAGAGAGATCCACACACTTGAACACGTTATTGTCTGGAAACTAGAAAAATGCTTGTTTTTTGGCCCCTTTTTGGCCCCAAATTCCTAAATGTTTAGGGCAATTACCCCCAAACTCAAACCCAGCTTTCCCTTTGTGATATGGAACCTTGCAGTACAATTTCATAAAGATCCATACACTTGCACACAAGTTATTGTCCTGAAACTAGAAAAATGCTTGTTTTTTTGCCCTTTTATGGCCCCTAATTATTACAATTTTGAGGGAATTCCCCCAAAATTAATCCCAGCCTTCCCTTTGTGGTATGGTACCTTGCAGTACAATTTCAGAGAGATCCATACATTTGAACACAAGTTATTGTCTGGAAACTAGAAAAATGCTTATTTTTGGCCCCTTTTTCCTAAAATTTTTGGGCAATTACCCCCAAACTCAATTCCAGCTTTCCCTTTGTGATATGGAACCTTGTAGTACAATTTCATAAAGATCCATACACTTACACACAAGTTATTGTCATGAAACTAGAAAAATGCTTGTTTTTTGCCCCTTTTTTGCCCCTAATTCCTAAAATTTGGAGGCATTTACCCCCAAAATCAATCCTAGCATTCCCTTTGTGATATGGAACCTTGTGATACAATTTCAGAGAGATCCATACATTTGAACACAAGTTATTGTCATGAAACTAGAAAAATGCTTGTTTTTTGCCCCTTTTTGGACCCCAATTCCTAAAATTTTGAGGCAATTACCCCCAAAATCAATCCCAGCATTCCCTTTGTGATATGGAACCTGGTGGTACAATGTCAGAGAGATCCATACACTTACACACAAGTTATGTCTGGAAGTTACAAAAATGCTTATTTTGGCCCCTAATTCCTTAACTGTTGGTACCATAACCCCCAAAATCAATCCCCACCTTCCTTTTGTGGTATTGAACCTTATGGTAAAATTTCTTTGAGATCCATTCACTTAAACTAAATTTAGAGTGCGAAAACTAATGTGTCTTCGGACGACGACGACGACGACAACGTCATACCAATACACGACCACAAAAATTTTTTTGCGGTCCTTTAAAAACAAACAATCAACTTACAAAACCAACAACAATGAATGCCAAAAGATAAATAAATGAGGATGGCTAAACAATGGGCTATTTGAAAATAATTTTATCTGAATTCTTTCTAAAACATCATGTTGAACATCTCAATTTACTCCAATGACTTTAAATATATAGTGTCAACATTGTTTCCTACTGTTTCAAAGTTTTCCAGATGAACGTTTTGGAAGTTTTCTGGTATTATGATGCAAGTCAATGAAGATGCCGCATTATTTCCAAATTCAGTTGTGAAATTCTGGTTTTGGTTGTCTAAAACGATAACAGTATTTTTTGCTTGCTCTGCATTCTTTGGAATGGAACTTTGTTTGTTCAGGTTTTGTTTTTCCTTTGCTACAAGACAACGATGCTTTTTTGAATCAATGTGTCTGTTGAAGTGAGATTTGTTCCAGAAACTCATGCCACAAGTTACACATAATAATCTGTTTTTATCCACGTGAGTTTTACGGTGGATGTTAAGCGCAGAATTTGTCGGAAATGGTTTCATGCATTCGGAACACTCAAAAGGTTTCTCACCTGTATGAGATCTGACATGCCTGACATGAACATGTTTCTGTCCCGTCTTTTTACCACAATGGTCGCAGGTATAAATTTTATTCTTGTACGATTTTAGTTCCTCTTCTGTCATATGATATTTGATTTTATGATTTTTCAACCCTTCAGTTGACCTAAATTCTCTGTCACATGACACACATTTGTATTTTTTATCTTGCACATGCGTTCGCAAATGTAATCGTAATGTAGACGGTAGCTTAAAACACATTCCACAAGATTCGCATTGATGAGGACGCATAGAACTATGGGATATCATATGTCTATTGAAAGACATCTTGTGAATGAAACCTTTTCCACACTCTGCACAAATGAACCTTGACCCATTTGTGTGTTCCTCCATATGTGTCTCAAAATCTCTTTTTTTAAAGAATACATCTGAACACTGAGAACATCTAATTACCCTGTCTTTATGAACATCATTTAAATGTTTGTTGAATTCCAGATCAGTTTCAAATATAGCTCTACATCCCTCACAAGTGGTAGTAGTTTTGTGTTGCGTTTCTAAATGATAACTCAAATCTTCCCTTTTATCAAAACATTCTGTACAAAATCGACAGATACTGACTTTTAGACCGTGGGCTAACTTCTTATGAGTATAGAGATATTTTATGCTCATGAAATGTTTGCCACAAGTTTTACACTGGACACTTGCTATATTTTTCTTCAGGCAAATATTTTGTAATTTATGCTCAGTAAATACTGATTCAGATTCAAATAAGGATTGACATGGAAAACAACAGGGTCTTAATTCTTGATGGATCTTCTTTAAGTGCTTTTTAACTGATTGCTCATTATAAAATTTATTTTTACACAATGGGCAAGTCACACTTTTCTTACTTGAATGCCTTTGTTTATGTTTCTTTAACTGTTTTCTTGATAAAAACTGTCGATTGCAAAGGTCACAACAAAGGTCAGTACTTTCTGGTATAATGTCATCATCAAATATATTTTTGTGCATGTCAATATTGTGTGATGTATGTTCAGCTTTAGTTACAAAAATTAACTTGCAATAGCTGCATTCAAAGTTTCTTTCGCCTTCTAATACTTCCTTATTTTTGCATGATGCATTAAAATCTTGATCTTCATCTATTTCAGATTTGATGCCATTAAAATCTTGATCTTCATCCATTTCAGATTTTATTCCATTAAAATTGTAATCACCCTCAATTTCAATTTCCATACTGTTAAACTTCTTCGGCTCTTTATTTTTTAACCTTGATGACTTCCTAACAGCGCTATTTGAATTAGTTTGCAGTAGATTTTCCTCTTCAGTCAAACTTTCATTACATTGTATTTTACTCTGTTTTGAATCCTCAACACTATCATGTTTTGACAATTGGACTTTGTTTATTGAAAGATCCCCCTCTTTGTCTTGTATGTCTCCTTCCATTGCTACCTCTGATTCTGGGTTTCCTTCTTCATCTTCTAATGCAATAGATTGAATTGTCTCAGTTTTCCAAATTATGTTCCCATCTTTAGCTAAACCATACTTATCTACATAATAAAATATAACATTTATTTACATAGTTTAGTACATTTGGCAGATGACTGAAATTCAAACATAGTTTTGGGGAACATTTAGAAATTGAAAACTTTAACATGTTTAAAGCTATAACTTGTCCCAAGTAATTATATAATTTTGGCACATTTTGGATGTCACATACTCATGTTATTACCTCACAGTGAGAAGTGGTTGTTCAATAATGTGAACAGGCGTAACTCATTCTTAAAAAAGAACTCAAAATTGGTCTATTAAATGATAGCTTTACTGACAACAGTACTGATTCCAATACAACTTTTTTTTTAAATGAAGAGAGATAGGGTAGATTTTTGTGCACTTAACTGCATATTGCATCTTAAATTTTTAATTAACATTGGTGCTGAAAGTGGCTTTAAACAACAATCAATTAATCATTAACACAATCTGACCTGACTCAAACAAAGATTTGATTATGTCACTGGCTTACGAAAGCAAAATTGTGGGTAAATTTTAAAATCAAAATATCTATTTTCAATTTTGGACTTGATGAAGTCAGAAAATGAGAGACTTGTCAATTTATCATGTCTTTGGTTCATAAAACACTATGAAACACATATTTGACCTAATGTGGGCAAAGACCATCCCTTATGACCATGATTACATGTACATTGAAAATTTTACTGAGAATTAACAATGGTTTGATCATGTGCTACATGCATATGTATGTTATGATCTTATTTTCCTCACATCACAAGTTTTAAAGGTTATAAATGGTTGTAGAAGCAGGGGTTCAAATTAACATTTGGTATTGGAAGGTCCAGGACCTTTGACAATCCAAACTGAAAGGTCCACAACATAAATCCCAGGTCCTACTTTATTTGAAATATTTCATAACTCAGTAAGATAAAAAATTAATGTGTTTTTGGTTTAGGTTAGCTTGTTTAATATATTTGAACTGCATGCAATATTTTGTTAAGTTTACAAATATATTGCCAGGCAACCATATAAATGTAGCACTAAACTGTCAGTGTCACTATGGTATAACATATATAATAATAATTGATGTAATTGTCTTACAAGTATATTATGAATTCAAATAATCTTTTTTTTTGGTATTGGGAAGGGTGTCACTGTGGGTGGGTGTGTTGTCTCAATTATTGGTAATTATACCATTATCCGTAGTCATTATCCTTAGAATCCAGATTTCATTCATAGCTGGTCCGTTTCCCAACTCCGATCAGTAGTTTGTACAAACATTTCAATGGCGGACGAGAAAATTTACAAAAATAAATTATGGTTGAAACGCTATTTGGAAGGGAATATGACGTTTTTAATGCAATGAATGGATTACAAATTTACTTAAGGCAACTTTCATCACTTCTAATGGGTTAACAAACTTATTTTGCCGACAGTTAAAATGGTTTGAAGTACGCTCTCGAGGGGTAATACCATGTCAATAGTAATATGGCTTTGAAATGACGATACTGATGGTTAAAAAGGTCGGCAAAGTTAAATTTATTTTCTTTCAAAACAAAGGTCCGTCGGGCGTAGCAAGTAACCAAAATGAAAGTCTGATTGCAATAGTGGAAGGTCACGGACCTCGGACCACCGCTTATTTGAACCCCTGAGAAGAAGGGGAGAAATATTGTCTGCATTTTTTTAGACTCCTACTCATGTTTTTTTAACCAGGAGAAATTTTTCAGACAAAACATAATTAGGCTACAATGTAAAATGTATATTCAGAAATTTGCAAAGATTTTATTGCCATGAGATAAGTGTTGCAAAATTAAAACTTGCATTTTAAATTTTGATAGCACTACTTGTATGCAGCATTTTCTAAATTATCAAAAAATAAACTTGCATTCATAATTATTTCTGAATTTCCAGTAATATTGTCACAATTATATGTAGATGTGATTTTTTTTTATATATTTGTACTTGGGTCCTGAAGTTGTGAAACTGTGTAGCCTCCGACTCATTTACTTAAAAAATTAAGTGTAAAAAAAACAATTGACAGAAGAAATTTTTTTTTCATTTAAGAATGTTATAAAGAATTAAAATTTGATTTTGTAGATACATGAAACATGTTTAAAAATTAATGGACCACTCAAGTTTTTAAATGTAGATATGTTTAATGGCTCACTGTCTTCTTCCTAGAAATTTTAAATATCTGTAGCATGCAGGCCTTATGATTTTTTGTCAGATATTTGGAATCCTCTGGTTTTATCCACAGATCCATGTGGGGCCATTAAATTCTATTAAACTAGAGACAGAGAAACTGAAATGGGTCGAATTTGGAGCGCAATGTTGTGAGAGTTACATTATAAACGGTGTGACGTCAACGTGGGTCATTTGCATAGCTAGGTCAGAAGTACCATTCATTGACAATGTGGCTGCATAGTGATGTATTTACTAAAATGAGTGCAAATAATCGATATTATAAGATAAAATCGTTAGTGGATTAAATATTTAATTATACAGATATCATGGAAAATCTATAGAATTCGATATTTCATAAGGAACAACCATGAAACTAAGGAAAACGCGTGTGAAATTCCCCGATGTAATGGGTAGCAACGTCCGGGGATATGGGTTAACAACACCCAGGGGCTATGGGTTTTGTCACGACGTACTTTAACCAATCAAACTCCTAGAAATATATTAAGCCGGGGATAAATTTTATTACACATAGTTTAAATAGCATTCTTTTTAAATCTTATAAAGTCCTTGTTATTTTACAATAGTTTTTGAAAGAAAAAAGATGCCAATGTTAAATGTATGAGAAATCTAGAGAGAATCATTTCCTGCCAAATTTTCAATGGCTTATCATGCTTATAGCTCAAAAACAAGGACACCTTGCATTTGTTTCTGCTTTGTTAGTTCTGTTACATATATACTATCAATTTATATAATATAACTATCTTTTAAAATAACTCTCTTTTAAAAAGCTTGTTGTTTTTAGACAGAATAGCGACCATCCTTATACATGTAACTCCTTGAAGGAATCATTGATGGTATTAGTCATATCAGCATTAATGTATATCTTGTACTGCTGATCATTTTTGCTGTTAACAGGTTCTTATATCTTTTATAGTTTTCGAGATGAAAGGCGAAAACAGGAATATTAGTAAACAAGAAATAAGCAAACCAGATTTTTTTTATTTTGAAGGTGCTTTCATGTCTGTTTGACCTACCATGTTCTGTGCCTTATATCTATAAGTTATATCATTGGCACTAATCATTTTTTACCACATCTCCTTATTTATATTGTGTTTTGGTAGTTGATACATGGTGAAATCATATTGTAATATGATAATCTAACATCTGCATCATATCAAATTCCTTAAAGTTAAAACTTAACCAAAAACTTTACTGAACCTTAAAGGGAAAATTCACGATTTTTTACTTTTCATCTTATTATGTTCATATTACAATAAAAAACATATTCACCAAGTTTTATCTGGATATGAACACTAATAAAGAAGAAAATTGGGAATTAATAATTTAATTTATTCGAACTTCCTGACTTATGTGACGTAGTTTAAGTCTTTTTGCATGCCGGGAGTGAATAAATCTCATTGTAAGTCTTGTTCGTTAATCATCTAATAACGCGATTTAAAGCGCATCGACGACTTTTGGTGTAGCTATTAACCAACTAATAATTGAGAAAGTAAAGTGATCAGCCGTGCAACTTTCAAAATTAAAATGTACGATTTATATTTAAAGGATTTCTGATATGATTATAGTAATAAAAGTAAATCATACAATAGAATATATTTTTTTATGAATTTTTTTCCGACGGATATTTTGAACAAACATATATTACTGATATTGTTTTACAAATGCATGTTTGTATTCTCACCTGAAGGCTTTTACTTCAGTCTATCAAACATTTCATACTAGTACTGTGTAAATACAATGTGTATTGTACTGTGACACTTAGTGACTACCTGTTGAATGCGTGGTTAAATTCAAGGTAATTAAAAGATTAGCATTCTGTAATTCTATTCTTTTGATCTTCACTCAGTGAATTTTAGCCAACACGGTTCACCGTTACAGGTGTGAACAACATTTCGTATGAATGATAAAAACATTAATTATTTGGGGAGGAATATGGTGGCAAAATACCTGAATCGCCGTTATATATATCTTTTATATTTTGTGTAAGCTTAATTTTATAATAGATAGGTGAGTATTTTGTTGTAACATCGAAATTCTGTATTACTTTCAATTAAATAATTTTATAAATAAAAATGGCCCACGAAAACGAGCGTATAAACCAAACACTGTACTTACTTTTTTCAAATTATCATGGGTATTAAGCTTGAATATTTCAATGTTTAGCGAAAATTATCGTGGTTACATGATTAATATAGCTTGGTCCGTCCACCGCGATCTACATTTACCTAATCGGGAATGCCCTTATTAAAATATTTAAAATCTCACAACGTATACATACTTTAGCTATTTGACCAACGATGTTTGAAAAAAATAACAGAATCAATATAACGTCAACTTTCCTTTTTTGAATGGAGACAGACCGGCGGAATCAATTTTCAATGTGCTTTATATCTTGTACCTTTGAAAGACTTATCATTCATTCATAAACCAGATACATATATGTCAGTCTTAACTGACAAGAATACACCTCAAGCGGACAAGCAGTATATTCTTTAAATTTCTGTGATTTGATACGAAGAAAGAAAAAAATCCCGAAATTAATTTGATACTTTGATACTCCATATTTTCCCTGGAAAATAGTCACATCCTCGTTTGGTCTGAAAATAAGATAAGAATTTGGTATACAGAACATGCAGATGTGTGAATGTCATAAAACCTTGTTATCAGAAACCAATGTGAACCTGTATACGTAAGACCTCATGGGACGTCACCTAACCACATACAGGTAATATACAAGTAGCTCTGTTATACCCGGAAATGTCAAGGTAAATCACTACCGATACAGAATGTACCAATGCAAAGAAAATTCTGATGATTGTGAAGCGTGACCATTCATGATTTTAGAGGAGTCTTAGGTGGAAATTGCCGGTACGATTTAAATTCTGACTAGATTTTTTTCTCTCAATTTAAATCACTGAACTAAAAAAAAAAGAAACCTACGTCCAAGATCAGAATTATTCATGTAAATTCATAAATACAACGTTCTTATTTTGTAACTTTCAATATACTTTACCTCCAACCACCGCCCCCCTCCCAACCTGGGAACAGTATATCTAACATTACAATGTTTGTGTACCTGCCCAAATAAAAAAAAAAAAAGAAGAAGAAAAAAGAAAGAGATGAATGGTAAGTCACATCAGATTCAAATATTTATATGGTTGATTGTCGTTAACTAGAGATGTATAAATACATGTCTCTGCGTTAACTTATAAGAATGACAGGAAAGTATATACTTGAAATAGATTTATGATGAATAATATGCAACTGCGGCACCTCTTTTTGTCAAAGTGTACATGCATGTATTTTAATGACTGTCCGTTATTTCGATTAAGAATGACAATTGTACGTGAAATTCTATAGTTGCCAGTGAGACTTTCTTTTACCAGATATGCGACTTTTCGTATTTATATTTTCTCTCATATTACTCTCATTTAATATTTTATGCATAAGTGCAATATTTGGGAATAGTTTATTCCCCCCACAAGCCAACTAAATAAATTAATCAACCATCTAGCTAATCAGACGTTAATACAAATACTATCAGTCTATCCGGAGTGAAGTTTCTTTATTTCTTCAAATAGATTTTTTTGGGGATCATTAGTGTACGTCAAGTGGCATATATATTACATGCATGTCGGAACAGGAAAGTTAGCATAATGTACTTTTAGAACCATGTTCACATCATTATACATTATACTCATCAATTGTGGTGATGACGAATTTCTTTAACTGTTCGAGAACAATCTAAATGAAATATAAATCTGTGATTTTACTATGTCCATAACTTCGATGAACCAAAGCAAGTAAGATATCAACCTGTATTTAAATCAAATTGGTTCTGGATGTTTCTCTGTTATATTCAAAAACATGTATATATTTTTAATTGCGACTATCTATAGTTCCGTAACTTTCTATCTAGGCGTATTAACCAATGATCGACAAGTGCGTACATTTTTGTTAAATCAATATTTGTATGTTTCAAAATGTCCATCATTATTGACAACGAGTATATACTTACATTTCCACAATTTACCCTTGGAAAAATTTTATCAAATCTTTTTTTGGAATTATTTAGATTTTCATAAATATCATTCTTTACACCAGAAATGTTATTTATAAACAAGTGTATGTGTTTAGTAATGACTAGTATATTACTATCGGACACGCAAGACAAAAATGTATATTACACCTGATAGTTTCAAAATGGAAAGTTACAAGTTATCGGCCGTGTACACTGATCAATACCCTTAGAAATGAAGGGATGCATGAACTTGCTTTATGTAATTGTGTAATAAGAGTTTTTAAGCCTGACAGGAAATCACATGAATACCTGGACGTGTCACCTCACAATACCTCTGGGAATAATTCCTTTAGCCATGCTGGTGATCAGATAAGGGAAGGTCTGAATTTATTTAAATAATTAGATATAAGAAAATGTGGTATGAGTGCTAATGAGACAACTCTCCATCCAAGTCACAAATTGTCAATTTATAAAAGTAAACCATTATAGGTCAAAGTACGGTCTTCAACACTTGGTTTATTACATAAAAGTTTATTACATAAAAGAATTATGAACAAATTAGATTTTCGAAAACAATTATACACGGGACACTTATTTATGACTTTGAACTTTGACTTTTTAACTAATTCCCATATAAATTTCTTGTTTCAAAACTTAGTAAAAACAAGGATTTGTATAGTAACAAATACAAATCCTTGGTAAAAAAAAAACAAGTTTAAATACGACAGACCATAGTTATTTAAAAAAAATAATTACATTTTCCGTATCATGTTAGTTAGGAAAGGTTGCACAACCATGTCTATTATCATGATTATAATCATTTTTGTTACCCGGGAAACTGTTTATGCTTTTCTTGTCGGATAAAACAACTGTACGCTTGACAAGATATCGACACGCAATTACGACTACGTTAGGGTACTGCTGGTTTTGGTCCTTTGTGGTTTATAGATATATCGTGGTTTCTAAACCGAGAAGATGTCAAAATGACCCATGCAGAGAATTGATACTCTAAATTTAAAATCGATGGTGATCTCTTATATAGCAGAATAAAACTTTAATATTTATGAATTTGTGCTTTTTTATACAGAATGAACATAATATCAATTTTTCATTTTTTTGCGAATTTTCCCTTTAAAATCCAGGTTATATAATCATGATAATGGTTTGGACCTATGATTGTGTAATAATGTATATATATCATGTATATAAATGGCTATCATTTTAAAAGTAAATTTACACACCAGAACAAAACTGTATGAATTTCTGAGTAACATCTTTGTCTTCTTCAATAAATTTTCTACCAAGTACAGAGCCGCTTGCTGTCCATGACTTTGACTCTATATTCAAACTAACTGTAAAGCTTTCCATCTGAAATTAGATCAATGTAGAAATATTGTATACTTTCTAGTAAAGACCTTTATGTCCAAATAAGGCAATGAATTACAGTATACAAGAACATATTACAACATGTACAATGTAAAAGAAAAACACATACATGTATTTTTGTACATCATATCCTAACATTCAGTAAGGCATTTGATGTAAATGATATTCTCCAACAGACTACATGCTTATCATGATTTTTCTTTTTTTAGTTTTCACCCTTTTAAGACAGTTTTGGTCACAATTCAAATCACTTAAAAGCTAATATTTCATCAAATAAATATAAGTCAACCAAAGGAAAAGCAAGAAAATCCATCCATATTATGCCCTTATTCTTCCATCCCCTAAATTGGCCACCTTTATAGGATCACACTTTCACTGGTCTTTTTTTCTTATTTTCTCAATGAAGAAAAATAATGTCTACCATTGTAGGTGACAACAGACTTACTGATAATGGGATTTTAGCAGACAAGATGTGTTACATCTTACAAAGTCTATCAGATTCATTTTGTATAGAGTTCCGCTCGGTGCTAGGGGCCGTCTTAAACTTGGAGTGAGGTGAAAGTTTTTTTTTTTTTTGCTCCGTGTTGAAGGCCTCACTGTGACTTTGAGATGAAGAGCAGCAATAAAAGCACTGTTCCTTTGCTTTTTTGTGTTTTTTTTTTGCTCTGCATGTCCTTATAAGTTATTTTGTGTCATGGATGGATACTCCATATCCTTTGTTTTTCTATTAAGATAAATACTTGTCAATTTGTGTGTAAAATGGTATTTTGTTCTATTTCGAAAGAGTTATCTATCTTTTGTATATTACATCTGCCATGTTGTTATACAAAGAACTTGCATAAAAATTGTACTTTAATTGAGTAAAAGTGACAGTTATCTCAAAATTATAGTCTTTATTATCAATATAAACAGTATTGCACTATATAAGTTAAGAATTTTCGTGTTTTTGTAAAAATAAGATGTGGTATAATTTCCAATGAGACAACTCTCCACCACAGACCATGCATACGACATAGAAGACAACAACCATAACTGAACTGCCTTCAACAATGAGCAAAAGTGTTATACATAAATTAAATCATAACTAAATAGCATTGCTATACTGCTATAAATTTACTGCCCTACATTCTATCGATAATTATATATTTACATTGCACAAGATCATGTTTTTCTCTGACTGTTTATGACTTCTATACACCAAATCCATTGGATATGTAACTGATCAGGGATGGGGTCGACTTCTTTAAATGTTAATCACTACTTTAATTTTTTGGACAAACAATGGACGAGCTTGGGTGTTAAAAACTAATTGTCTAAATTGCAATAAGTAATTAAGTTATAAGTAGTTTATTTTTATTATCATGATTATATATGTCTATAACAAAATTTAAACAAATTGTAAAAAAAAAAAAATTTAGTTCCCATTTATTATTTCAGTAGGCTATTTTTTTGTTGATCATCAAAGTCAAAATTGGACTCAAATCCATATATTAATATTCTATGCTATTGAATGTCCATGTTGAGTTATAACATTTATAAACTGAAGTTGGAGTTAAAGTCATATAAAATGAGTTTCTTGTAATTTTATTGTTATCGAAAATATTAAACCAGAATGCATACATATACTAACTAAGTCCTGTATGCATGTTATTTTTATATTCATGACGAATCTATAACGAAGACAATAATTTAATAGGTGTACGTTTATGAAGAATTTGATAATAAAAAGGATTTTCTTTTACAAGAAAGTTCACACACTTGTTTTATAGTAAAACTTAGCTATCATAGTATATAAAACATATTCAACTTTTTTTATTAAATTTGAACAGGTTGAAGTTTCATATGACTTTAATATCAGAAGTGTTCCATCAGGGAACACAAAATGTTTGCAAAGCATATTCTTCTACCACAAGGACTCAATGTAACAAGGAAACATTAGCATGATTAGGACAGTAAATTCATTTAGTGAACTGTTTACAAAATAAAACACAAATTTTCACTCTACATGGCCAAGCTTGGTTATACTTTACTTGTTTTATAGAAGATAGAATCAGTCACTGTAAATACTAGTTTGATAAATTTTTTATCCAAATTTTTTATATCAAAAACTATTTCCATTTATATATATATACATGACATATATGAAATTTGTAATCAGCAAGTAATCATATGAATGTATAATCTAAAAGTAATCTAAAGTTATCATGATTACACCTGGCTTTCACCTTGTAATTGATTAAATTACGATTACATGTAATCAGAAATTGCATGATTACTGCATGTACTGATTACATGTAATATTACATTGCAAAATGTAATCGATTACAGATTATTACAATTACTGATTACGATTACCCCATGCCTGGTACTGATTGATATTTTAGTTTTGGATACATGATATTCTATTAGTTGCTATTGGCTCTGTAATAGCTTTCAGTAACTGTGAGTACTCTTAGATCGCACAGCAGGCTATAAAAGGCCTCCAAATGACAAATCCCAGCAAGAAATCTAAAGGCCTGATTTATATCGTAGCAGACGACGTCGGATCACTATCCCTATGTCGAGCTTTCTGCGACAAAAGTCACAGGCTCAACAAAAATAATAACTATATAAATATTGACTATGTTGACATGTTGAAGAGGAGAGAGCCATTCAGACCATTTATGGATTCATTGAATTTTGTATCAACATGATTCTTAATCAAATTCGTATTTTGAATGGAAGATGTTGTAGTGATAGCTCAGGAAGCTACAGTTGTTATAAACCTTATTGTTGTAGTGTTGTAGACTACATACTTGTATCTGAGAGATTAATACATAATATGTTATATTTCAATGTATCAGGTTTTAAGGCAAATTTTTCAGACTGTCACTGTACAGTAAAATATCTTTTAAAATCTTTGCAAATTTTAAACAGAATAAAAAAGATATTAATTTTAAAGACTTTCCATTAAAACTATATTTGGAAAGCTGAAAGTGTGCTTAAATTTCAGGAATCATTTACACAACCACAATATAAAATGATATTAAGCAATTTATGGATTAGGAGATCAATCCAGATATAACTATATAGCTAGCATTAATAATGCAGCAAGCAAAATACATCGTATTTTTGAAAAAGTATGTAAATTTGAGAATGGAAATGGGGAATCTTCTTTAAAAGGAAAGAAAAAGGTTAAAGCTAAAAATAAGAAGATGGTGATGACGAGAAGGCTTGTTTAAAAGTCAAAATTTCCAAAGGATCCAGTGGTGTGCATGTGTTGTGCATTTTTCAAAATGAATAAAAAATATGCAAAACTGAGGAAAATAAAGAGAAGAAAACTAAACAAAACATTCTAAATCGTCTAGATAAATTACAATCAAGTAATCCAAAAGAATACTGGTCTCTAGTTAATCAACTGCGCAATGAGCAGGCAGACAAGTCAGTGTCTAACATTGATGGTGATACTTGGTACAAATATTTGGATAGCCTGGGTTCAGTCCCAAACAATTTAAGACTACCCCGGTAAGACTACACAAGATAGAAAATAAATAAAAGAACAGAGTTCAATGTCCCCCATGTTGCACATATTTTATCTATCCAAGGGCAATAAACTTTTTGTAAATATCTTAAGAGAAATGAAGGCTTGAGAGCAAATCAAATGCAATTTCCAAGGGGCATTACTCTTCTAAAAATATTTCATCAGCACTGATTTTCCAACTTGTCCAAGACATTGCTCATATAAACCTTTGACAGAAATTTCATAAAAATCTGGCAAAAATTGTACACGTCAGAAAGCACTGACAATATAATTTTCCATATAATTAATATTTCAAAGGGGCATAATTACTCCTTTAAAAAATAAACTGTTGACACAGAGATATGTCTCGCCTATCAGCATAAAATTCAGAAAAAGACAATCTGATGGACAGCAACATTACTTATTAATTCAATCACTGGACCATGATTCAGTGGGCAAGGCCTGGAAATGGTCGACAAACTGAGCTGTACAGACAGTAATGTAACTTTATAGAAAATATCATTGTTTATTGTAAGTAGTCCCTATCAATATAACTTAAGCAGAAAAACTTGCTAATTAATTCTATAGTCACTGGAACATGTCCAAGGGGGCAGTGCCTCAAAATAGTCTTCAAACGGATATTGATAGTAATGCAACTTCATACAATATATCATTGATCTATCACAAGTAGATCCTATCAAACTAACTGAAGCAGAAAACTTAACATTGAAAATTACTAATTGACTCAAACATGGCAAAGTCACTGGACTATGTCCCAGGAGGCAGGGCCTCTAAATAGTCATCAAACTGATATGTACCTATATTAATGAAACTTCATACAAAATATCATTGATCTATCCCAAATAGATCCTATCAAACTAACTTAATCAGAAAACTTAACATTGAAAATTGCTAATTAATTCAAAGTCACTGGACCATATCCTAGGGGCAAGGCCTCAAAACAGAAATCAAACTGATATGTACTAATACTAGCTAGTGCAACTTTGTATTAAATATCAATGACCTATCACAAGTAGTTCCTATCAAACTAACTTAAGCAGAAAACTTAACAATTGTTGACGCTGTTGCAGGAAAAGCAATCCCTAAGCCTTGCTTTCCACAACTTTAGGCAAAGTCGAGACAATAATTAATCAGCACTTATTTTCAAACTTGTCCGAGACATTGCTGATATAAACCTATGATATGAGTTTAATAAAAATCTGGCATTGTACACCATGTACACATGAGAGTGCATACAATGAAATTTTCCATGTAATTAATATTTTCAAGGGCATAACTCTTTAAGAAATAGTTGATCAGCACTGATTTTCAAACTTGAACGAGACATTGCTGATCTGAACCTATGATATAAGTTTTATAACAAGAGGCTGTCAGAGTGACAGCAAACCGGATTTTCCTGCAGAGGTCGAACCCTGAACAGTTGAGCAAGTATGGACACTACATTTAAGCTTAAAACTGCTCTGAATTTGGATTGTGGTTGAATATTTGACACAGCATAGGTTTAAATTTTTGTGACACAAAATGAATGTGTTCAAAGAACTGAAATATTTGAAATTGGACATTTACCTATTATGGTCCAATATCCAAAATCTAAGTACATTGTCAGAATCAGCATATTAAAGAACTCCAAAAATTCAATTTTTGATGAAATCAAACAAAAGTTTAATTTAGGACCCTTTAGACCACAATGTGGACCAATTTGATAAAGGAGCTCACAATCCAAAATCTCTCAATACATGGTAAGATTCAGCATTTCAAGGAACCACATAAATTCATTTTTTGTGAATCAAACAAAGTTTAATTTTGGACCCTGATTTGGACCAACTTGAAAACTGGGCCCAAAAATCTAATATTTAAACATGTTTAATACAGGTTTAGATCCAGCATTTGAAAGAACCCTATATATATTTAATTTAAGTTGAAATGAAACACAATTTAATTTTATCCATATATTTTCTGTGCAAAGGGAAATAACTCAAACTGGATAAATAGATATGATTATAATCAATAAATAAAATGCTCCGCTGGGCACAGCTTGATACGACCGCAGAGGTCGAACCCTGAACAGTTGGGGCAAGTATGGACACAACATTCAAGCTTGATACACACTGACTTTGGATTGTGATTAAATATTTGACACAGCATGGGTTTCTGAATGGATGCACAGACCAAAAAACATAATGCCAATAAATGGGGCATAAAAAAAGAGATACATTTTTTGTACACGTTAAGGTGAACAAATGGAGTTATCCCTCTTCTTACTGGCTCTCTACCCTCATGTATACATTTTATTAAATCAGGTTTCTATTTTTGTTTTTAATAATTTTTTTAATTATTACATGTAACAATCAGTATGCATGCTAGATTGAATGTGCTTTTTGTGTGGATATTGTATGGACTTTGTGATTTGTATTGATTTACATGTATAAATATACATGGGCCCTTTAATTAGAAATAAAGAAATTTGATTTGATTTGATTATAAATGACATAAACAGTGTGACTATTCATCTCACCTGCAATTAAACATTTAATTTTTCAAGCCTGTTCATTTATGCAATTTAGACCACATAAATAGAGGACAAGAATATGTCAATGTGATGCTAGGGGACAATTATTTCATGTTTGGGGTCACATATTAGAGTAATGGTAAAAGGATTTTAAAATGACTAATGACATGACTTTGAAAGAAGGAAATTTAAACAACTGAAAAGTGTTCAAAGTAATTTGAAAAAAAATTCCTTTGTCACAAAATATTTCTTCATAATTAATTGTTCCCCGCAGTGACTGAAAAATAAATAACTGTGCAGAAAAGACAACCCATAAGATGATAATTATCTAGTAGTCATTTCCTATATACCCTTTTGAAAGCTGTATGCACTATTGTAATAAAATTATATGCTGTAACACATTTCTAACTAAGCAATAATAAAGCTTTGAATCAATTAAATGGTCAAGAACAAATTTGCAAAAATGTGGAATTTTTCTAAATTTTTTCTTATCTTGCTTTATTTTGCAACAGACTTTGTAAAAATCCTATGCTTTTCATATCAAGAGTTGCCTCACTTACACTGGTCACATAATATTGTACTGTTGTACACAATATTCACTTAAATAAATATTGGTATTTTTTCCCGTTTAACATGTTTAAGATAGTTTACAGTGTTCTAGCTACAAAGTTTGAACAGGGTGCAGCGCCTGCCCTTTTTTTATTGACACCCGTGCCCTTTTTGGTGACGCCAGTGCCTTTTTTCTGCCGTTTCTCGGGCGCCCTGTCATTTTTATTGCGAAATTTGCTTTTTCTTGGATGAGTTTTGTTGAAATGTTCGTCGCCATTTTTCTTCCTTTTTTGACAATGCGTAACGTGCCACCTATAACTATAATCAGCAAAAAAATTTGCATAAAATGTGTTTACCTTGACTATCGATCGATTTCGTGATTAGAATTAAACTGAGAACTTAATTAAGTCCAAATAAATTTTAAATCATTATTTTCACAATGCAGGCTTGAGATAGACGTCTGAAAGATGAAACCAAAGAGAATGCTAGCTCAAATAAAAGTCAAACAGAGAAGATTGTGCCAAAAGTATTGAATTTTATTATTCCACTTTAACTGAAACTTGATTTTTCCATAGTGCCTGAGTTATATAGAGTATTTTGTTAGTAATGTTATGTACATATGTATTTTATGACGTATGCTAATAAATTATGAGGCTTAAATAATTGCCCTTTTTTAATGACATTTACGCGTAAAATTGCCCTTTTTCTGACTAGCACCCTGCCCTTTTCAAATCCTGGCTAGAACACTGGTTTAGGTTGTAATTCAGTTATTTAAAAGCAAATTTTTCATAGGATAATTAACTTTTTAACAGTCAGGGCATTATTTGTCAACAAGTTAGTTCAAAATTTCCTATACAAGTTATGTTGAAAACGAGGCAATCTAAAATATTTCTTATGTAAGTACATTTTGTAAATTTTATTTAAACATGTAAAGTGGTCCATTCATTGTGTTCATACAGATTTTACTAGTGTAAATAAATTTTCTCATACATCTGGTTATTTTCCACATGAAATGTAAAAACTAATCCTAATCCTAATTGCCTTACTGACACATTACATTTCATATCGACACTAATGGATCAAAGAATAGTCTTTCAGAACTATTAAAATTTCATTTTCCTTGAAAATCTTGAAGGTAGATAGATATAAATAGCTGTGATTAAATTGAGACTTGAAGTTATTCAAAATTTAAAAACCATAACAATTACAGATGTTCCTAATATAATTATAACTATTGTACTAAATATTTCAAAGGTGTATAAACATGATAAAAATAACTTTTAGAAGTAATATTTTTGACCTTATTTTAAGATAACCTTTTATCTGTATACAGTCCTATCAAACTTGATTCATTCTTAATATTATGTAATAAAATAATGTCAAAATTTATAAAAACTTCATTTAGCCCATGCTTCTTATACATGTTATAATTTAAATCTAAAATTACCCCATGGAGTAATTTAAAAATAGAAATAACCTATATCATGTATATGAATAGGTCTTTGTTTTCCAAAAAAATATCTTCTAATCTAGTGAATGTGCTCCCTATAAGCACAATGGTTACATGTGAATATAAAACTGTTTATGCCATCACCTTAACTGAAATTTAAAAAATAGTTTATTAGGCTATGGACTTTCATTCTTCTCCAAGACCATCAAGGATGGAACATACTTCAATCTTAAGTCACCTCTGCGGATTTAAAAGAGGACTGCCATGACTGCTTTGAAAGCAAGCTCTGAAAGGCCTATATAGTTTTAATGTACAATAAATGGAGAATGTGTCCATGGGACACAGTCGAGCCCCCCTTGCATATAACGTTATATAAAAGGGACATAACTCAAGTTTTCGGGGGACTACATACATTCAAGATTAAATTCTGTTCCTCATTTGGAAGAAGAGGGCTGCAGTTCCATAGACTCTCCTTTACGAGGCCAATGATATATGGTATCTCAAAAGTTACGGATTGTTTTTTATTCAAATGATTATTTAGGGAATATCTACATATGGTAATACTATTAGGGGGTGTTTAACGACCTTGACTACCATCTCACAGTTGTAATGATGAAGGTATACCAATGAATAGGGGACCGTGGTTCCCTGTTGTAGATCCAGGGACGTTTTCATTGCCGGAACCAAATTTTCATGAACAAACTGCATGAACTGGGCCGGTAAACTTTCTGCTAAATTCAACAATTTTAGATTACTTTTTGAAATTTATAGACATGCCGGGGAGAAGTATTATCGACATTTTAGTTAATGAAACAAATCGTTATGCCACCCAGTGTATTGCTGAAAGAAGTCGACCCCAAGAGTAGTGCCAGAGTATGCACGATTGAAAAACTGGACTACTGTGACACGTCAGGAAATTCTGGCGTTTGTTGGACTTGTTCTTTCCATGGGTGTTGTAAAGAAACCTACATATGAGTCATACTGGGAGAACAATCCTAGATCATGGTCTATGGAAACACCAAATTTTGCCCAAGTTATGTCTAGAAATAGATTCCAGGCTATTATTCAGTTTTTGCATTGCAACAACAATGAGACAGCAGTGCCACATGACCAACCAGGCTACGACCCACTCCACAAGATCAGTCCTGTCATAGACATTTTAAATCAGACATTTGCAGAAAACTACAGGTACATGAACTGATAAATAAAGTGTCTGATAGTACGTTTTTTGTTCAAGAGAATACAATACATTTTAAGCTATTACAGTCAGGGGTACATGTACTACTTGTACAAGTAATTTTTATTTACTTGAAGAAGTAAATATTAATATACTTATATAAGTAAATTTGTTGGATACTTATACAAGTGTATTTTATTTACTTCTATAGGTAAATTATTTTTTGGCCTAATTATGTTCCTTAGACATTCAGATTTTTTTACCTATACAAGTAAAAAAATCATCCCATCTTCTTTTCTTGAATTCTTAGAACTTCTTTGCTCTAACAGAATTTTGAATTGTCTGTCCTTTGCAGATGTCTTTACTAATCATTTAAGTGTAATTTCATGGACAATGAAAATCTCATTTGTCTGTTATCTTCAGAACACTGCTCATTTACAAGCCTCCAAAGAGCAATTTTTGAAGGCCTTGCGCAAAAACTTAAGATCTTTGCACGATCAGTTTCTTTGTTGAATTAACGAGATGAAACATTGAACTCTTATCAAAAATTATGAGCTAACCTGAGCATGCTGAAAGAAATTGTTAAAGGCATGATTTTACATCTTCAAACTTGAGAATTTTAGTGCGATTGTAAAAATAATTTACTTATACAAGTAAATTTTTTAGAAAATTAAGGGCAGATAATTTAAATATTATAATTAACTTATATAAGTATATTTTATTTACTTCTTCAAGTAAATAAAGATTACTTGTACAAGTAGTACCCCTGACTGTATTAGGAGAGTGAAGATATTATAAAGAATGAAAATTGTATTACATAGTAAATAAACAAAAGTTTACACATTTTTCACATTTTATTACATTGTGTAACCAGAGATACATAATACATTAACATTGACTTTGTATATATAAAACTTATCCAAAGTTAATTACAATGTTGTCATTACTGTGATGAAAAAAATGAAAGCGGACTAGAAATAAAATCTAAAAGATATATCTGTATACCTGTTTTTCAATTTATATACACTCTACGTATGCTACGTGCATCTATAACGACGACATTTTTTTTTTCAAAAACGTAAATTTGCTTTGAATATTTTTAAACTGTAGTCGTACAAAAAATTTACCTAATGTTATTATCCTTATATTTTCACAGACTTAACCAGGATGTTTGTGTAGATGAGAGCTCGAGAGTTGTGGGATTTAAAGGCCGACATCAGCTAAAGCAATATTTGTCCAACAAAAAGGCTCATAAATGGGGGATTAAATTGTGGGTTTTAGCGGAATCCTACACTGGCTACACCCACCAGATTAAAGTATATAAGGGTAGACGAAACGAAGCAAGAAGTGAAAATGGGCAAGTAAGGTCAAATATTGCATTTGAAAATGTACATGTCCATGCTGTAACTAATTTAAAATATATAGTTCCTATATTTAACAAGAGTGCAAACGCTGAAATGTCTCGCCTTCTTTACTAATCATTGATATTATGTTGATAGCCCTAAATATAAAGCTTCATTACAACTGTCACATAAACTTAACATTAACCAAGTAAACTAAACATTGACCAATGAACCATGAAAATGAGGTCAAGATCAGATGAACCATGCTAGGCAGGCATGTACAGCTAACAATTCTTCCATACAACAAATATAGTTGACCTATTGCTTATAGTTTAAGAAATCAGACCAAAACTTAAAAACTTAACACTGAGCAATGAACCTTGAAAATGAGGTCAAGGTCAAATAAAACCTGCCTGACTGACATATAGATTATAAAATATTTCCATACACCAAATATAGTTGAACTATTGCATATAGTATTAGAAAAAAAGACCAAAACTCAAAAACTTAACTTTGACCACTGAACCATGAAAATGAGGTCAAGGTCAGATGACACCTGCCAGCTAGACATGTACACCTTACAATCATTCCATACACCAAATATAGAAGACTTATTGCATACAGTATAAGAAAAACAGATCAAAACACAAAAACTTAACTATAACCACTGAGCCATGAAAATGAGGTCAAGGTCAGATGACACCTGCCAGTTGGACAGGTACACCTAACAGTCCTTCCATACACCAAATATACTAGACCTATTGCATATAGTATCTGAGATATGGACTTGACCACCAAAACTTAACCTTGTTCACTGATCCATGAAATGAGGTCGAGGTCAAGTGAAAACTGTCTGTCGGGCATGAGGACCTTGCAAGGTACGCACATACCAAATATAGTTATCCTTTTACATATAATAAGAGAGAATCTTAACTTTTTTTTCAAGTAGTCACTGAACCATGAAAATGAGGTCAAGGACATTGGACATGTGACTGACGGAAACTTCGTAACATGAGGATCACTATCCTTATGTCGAGTTTTATGCGACAAAAGTTGCAGGCTCGACAAAAATTATAAAAAAAAATTAGATTAAATGCAATAAACGGGCATAATGAGGCATAGTCAGAGCATATAGTCATGTTTATAGAAGGAATCTACATCCTTTTTCCAACAAAATTCTTGGATTCACGCCATATTTCATCATGTTTCATATGTTATCTTTTTAGTAATCTAACAGCCCGTCACCTTGAAACATTTTTCGGTAAACCAGTCTTCGTTTGGTTTAATAGAATCACTGGTTCGTGTTTACCCCCTGTTTTTTTCAATATATATTTTCAGGAATTATTGAATAAAATTAAATGCTTAAAACTTAAATATTCTCGTGGAATTTTCTCGCTGTATTGAAGACCCATTTGTGGCCTTCGGCTGTTTTCTGCTCTTTGGTCAGGTTATTGTCTCTTTGACACATTCCCCATTTCCATTCTCAATTTTACTTACACCCAAGGACTTCACGAATAAACACATATAAACCCAAAGCATTGCTTTTTCAGGGGTACCAAGTAGTGACAGAGTTGATGACACCTCATTTCAACAAAGAGCATCATGTTACAGTTGATAGTTTTTTTACAAGTCCCAAATTGGTACATGATTTGAAAGATAATGGTACATTCTGCACAGGAACTGTAATCACAAGAGTGCACACGCTGAAATGTCTCGCCTTCTTTACTAATCATTGATATTATGTTGATAGTCCGAAATATAAAGCTTTATTACAACTGTCACATAAACTTAACATTAACCAAGTAAACTAAACATTGACCAATGAACCATGAAAATGAGGTCAAGGTCAGATGAACCATGCTAGGCAGGCATGTACAGCTAACAATTCTTCCATACAACAAATATAGTTGACCTATTGCTTATAGTTTAAGAAAAACAGACGAAAACACAAAAACTTAACACTGAGCAATGAACCTTGAAAATGATGTCAAGGTCAAATAAAACCTGCGTGACTGACATATAGATCATAAAATATTTCCATACACCAAATATAGTTGAACTATTGCATATAGTATTAGAAAAAAAGACCAAAACTCAAAAACTTAACTTTGACCACTGAACCATGAAAATGAGGTCAAGGTAAGATGACACCTGCCAGCTTGACATGTACACCTTACAATCATTCCATACACCAAATATAGCTGACCTATTGCATGCAGTATTAGAAAGAAAGACCAAAACTCAAAAACTTAACTTTGACCACTGAACCATGAAAATGAGGTCAAGGTCAGATGACACCTGCCAGCTAGACATGTACACCTTACAATCATTCCATACACCAAATATAGTAGACCTATTGCATACAGTATAAGAAAAACAGACCAAAACACAAAAACTTAACTATAACCACTGAACCATGAAAATGAGGTCAAGGTCAGATGACACCTGCCAGTTGGACATGTACACCTTACAGTCCTTCCATACACCGAATATACTAGACCTATTGCTTATAGTATCTGAGATATGGACTTGACCACGAAAACTTAACCTTGTTCACTGATCCAAGAAATGAGGTCGAGGTCAAGTGAAAACTGTCTGACGGGCATGAGGACCTTGCAAGGTACGCACATACCAAATATAGTTATCCTATTACTTATAATAAGAGATAATTTAACATTACAAAAAATCTGAACTTTTTTTTCAAGTAGTCACTGAACCATGAAAATGAGGTCAAGGACATTGGACATGTGACTGACGGAAACTTCGTAACATGAGGCATCCATATACAAAGTACGAAGCATCCAGGTCTTCCATCTTCTAAAATATAAAGCTTTTAAGAAGTTAGCTAACGCCGCCGCCGCCGCCGCCGGATCGCTATCCCTATGTCGAGCTTTCTGCGACAAAAGTCGCAGGCTCGACAAAAACCAGATGTGGCATGCCAAAAAAGCTACCGAAATGCAAAACTTCAAAAAGGAGACATGACAATGAAATATCAGGGACAACTCATGGAAGTTTAATGGGCAGATCGCAGACTGGTTACCATTCTTACAACAACTGGCTCTGCATGGTAAATTAAAACGTATATTACATATATATGCATTTTTAATATAAAATAAGGAGATGGGATATGATTGCCTATGAGACAACTATCCACAAGAGACCAAATGAAGTACACAATTTTTAAGCAAAGTAATGTTAAAATTATAGTCACTATAATATTACTGTTCTTAAATGATAATTTGATCAAATATACTGCGAACGAAAAAATCAATACTGTAACATTCTTATTGTTGCACAAGTTAAAAATGCCGATAATTTGAGTTTCTTTGCAACCACAGAAACTTAATTTAATTGAATTAATGTAATTTAAGAACAGTTGATGGAATGTTTAAAAATAAAATCTGTATATTGAGTATACTTTTTTTATATGCATTTTCAGCCTTCTTGAAAAGATTTACATGTTCATGGAGAAAACTTCTTAATCATGTTAATGTATGTTTATAAATTGTAGCAAGATTAACACAACAAACAGTAGAGGAACAGATGTGGCCATTCCATCCGCTGTTAAGCATTACAACTATACTTATATATGGGTGGAGTAGATCTCGGGGATCAGCTTCTTTTACAATTTGAGCCGAATTTCAAAAGTGTGAAAATGTGGAGAAAGCTACTATTCCATCAACTAGTTACAACTGCAGGTAAATGACAATTTGCAAGTTTAGAATACATAAATTTTCGTCTAAAGACATTAAAATATTGCTTTATAAAAATAAGGAGATTATGGATTGACAATGAGACAACTATCCACAAAAGTTCAAATGAAATGGATTAATTCACATTTTTTATATTGAAATGGATTAAAAATTATGGGAACGCTACATAACTTGTATAGTTGTTCATAGTTGTTCAATACATGACATACCCTTTATATATATTTTTGTATCAACCACTAGTTTTCTTTCCTTATATATGTATGTGTAGGCAGGAACAAAGGTAAGACAAATTGTTGAAACTAAATACCTAAATAAATTTTTTTCAATGTTTTTGCATTCAATATTTTTATATATTTTCGCAAATTTGGCATGTATCTTAATTGCACAAATCTAAATCCATTTTGTATTTTATTTGGTTTTCTTCTCTTGATTTACTCAAGGAAGACATTCATATTATGTGTTATTTTTCATTCCTCGTTTTCAGTTAATGCTTTCATCTGCTACAAAAGAACATTCGTCGTGGAAACAAAGCTCGACCACCTAAAGTTTCACCAACAATTATGTCAGGACCTTTTAGGCAATCACAGAGATGGGACAAGAAATCAACAAATTAGAACCGTAAGACCGGTACATCAGCATGCAGTTAGCCAGAATCACAGAGAGGCACTTCCCGGAGAAAATATCGGATGAGAAACGAAAGAAATGTGTAGTTTGTGCTGGCACGGAAAGATTCAGAAAATCCCGGATTCAGTGGTGGTGTGCAACTTGTAAAGTCGGACTCTGCATCGACGGATGTTTCAGGAGATACCACACCCGCAAAAACTTTAGAGAATAAGAACACTGCTATTCACCGATAACTCAGTGATGTGTCAACATGTTTGATTGATCTTATGCAATAAAATATTTGAATAATTTCATTATCATTTTCATGCATAAAAAAATACAATGATTGGTAACTTCATAATGAAATGTTTTCTTGATTTAAATGAATTCTCACCATAACAATAAAAAAAAAAACATTCTGCTCTTAATACATATAATATTTAATTTTTCATATGCGTGTCATGTCTCATGTGTGGTCTAATTATTCAATTAACGTAAACAACGTGCATGTGCCTGAACGTCATTCACATATGTATGGCAACGTAAAGTGAAAAACAACGTCCCGGCGCTCAAAGGGTTAAATAATTATTCATTCACACTTCGTCCTTTCTTGCAGGGATCATCTGTCTGTCTATAAAAGACATCTTTAATAATTATACTATGATCAAAGTATTGTCTTTTTACGATTTACAAGCCCCCAGGGAACAATTTTTTAAATGGCAACAGATGATTTGCTGTACGACTCACTGGATGTTTACTATTTCTTTCGTGCAATAATTTCCATAACAAAGAATTTACTCCTGTTTTGTTATAAAAAAAAAACTTTGTAACATCATTCTTACGCTTCAAATAAACACTAAATATGGAATTCTAATATTTTCGCTGTGTATGTTTTCGTTCTGACTTTCCACTTTCCGGAACCGGTTGCGGATTACAAATATTTATTAACTTCCGCCCACACTCGACTTGTTCGCCATTTGCAAGATTAGACTATTTTGGGTATCAAATGAAAGCAGTAAGAAACACACCTAAATACCTAGAAGATAACACAAATGTTGTTGACTTAATTCGGGATGATTATTTTAAGTATAGAAAATTGTGGCTCGACCTCAGGAACTGGCATACTGGGGTCTGCTTGATTGAGCATGTGGTCCGGGGGGAGGGGAAATAGCAAATTTAAATATTTTAAACACAGCGAGGACCAGACTTAAAGCCACTTATAAATAATATGAGACAGTTTTGATCTGTACAATAATACAAATTATTTTTTCGTTCAATCATGTCAATAAAAAATAAAAATACATTTTGAATTTTGATTTAATAAAAATACAAGATTACCAGTCAGTTATTACCCAATAAATATATTACCCAAGATTGGCAACTAATTAATATCGCGATTGAGAGCTGTCAACATCAGGGGTAAGAAAAGAAACTTATTCTCAGCAAGATCTTTTATTTTCAACCGATATATGAGGATAGGTCAAATCCCTTTACTGTCAGGCGTCAAGTGGTCATTTTCGGCTACCGTTAGCGTCAAATTGGTTAAAGTTTTATTGTGAGTCATCAATATATCCTTATCGTGATTCGTCAGAGGTCCTAAATAATTTATTTGTAATGACTGTGAAAACTTTAATGTGATTCGTCAATGTACATTTTATCGTCATGCACCAAAAATTACTGTTAACATCAATTGTCACAAGATTTTTTTACAGTTATTTGTCATGAAGGTACCCCCAGTAGGGAGCTGCCATTTGATTTTTATGGGTGGGGGGGGCTAGGATGAAATTTGAAAAAAAGGCAAGACAGGAGTTTTGAGTAAAAAAAAGGCAGGATGAGCAACTAGGCAAATGGCAAATAAAAAAGGCAGGATGACAATTTATGTAAAAAAAAGTCAGGATAAACTAATAAAAAAAAAGGCAGGTCCGAATAGTGTGAAAAATAAAAAGGCAGGACAGAGATTACAACTAAAAAAAAATGAATGACAATTTTTCATTCTAGCCCCCCCCCCCCCCCCCCCATAAAAATCAAATGGTAGCTACCTTACGACCCTCATATATTAATACAGGGGTGGAAGGAACCTTTTCAGTATGTTTAATGGATTGGACCGTTGAATTTGCAAGTTTCTTAAATAGCCAGTTATTTAGTCAAGAATTCATAATTGACTTATATCCTGATTGTGGAACGAACCTATTATTTTTATGAGAATAAGGGATTTGACATGTATTTTATCATGAATTCGGAAAGGACCCTTCTACCCTCCTCCTCTTCTACTATACGACAGGTACTGGTACTGTATTTAATGATAATTCGCTGGCCTTTAGTGTTTAGTGATATTAGTCTTGGAAGACAATATGTTACGCAATATAGTTCATGTAGTTTAAAGGTTACTTTTTTAGTTATTTTTGTACATTAGAATTTTAGTGAACTGCATAATAAGTTTCCAAAATTATTACACTTGTATTAATAATAATAAATTCATACAAAGCATGATTATAAAATTTATATTGTATTTCACACTATTTTGAATACTGTAAATTCAGAAATTATTGCATGCATTTATTATTGTGAATTTTATAGAATGGAATAAAATGCAAGATTAATTATTGCGATTTCAGGGAAATCTGCAAAAAGTTATATGTATCATGCAGATATAAGAATGTGAGCTCTTATTATTGCAATACTCATGCAGTCGCATTATTCGCATTAATAAAAACCTTGCAATAATTTCTGAATTTACAGTACATGGAACACATCTTCTCTTCTGTTTGCCTTGTTCCAAATTTTTAACTTTCCTTTCCTTTTTGACTTTTTGCAACATTATAAGTAGCCATTTCGAATCTCATTAAAAAAATAGATTACATGAGAGTGAAGTAAAAATTCTGTTTTGATTGTATGAACATGATGAACTGTTATCTGCATATTTATTTTTGGGAGATTTTAATTATTTATATACCATAAGTGACTATACAGCTTTGTCAATTTACCTACAGAAAACAACAAAAGTATAAACAAATAAATATTGCCTATTTGAGTTTAGTTTTAAATGGGGGTCCATCATTTCATTATTCTTAAATTTTTTATACCATTTTTCTCGTCTATTCTTTATTTATTTTGCCCATTATTCTCTATCGTGTCTGTTCTCGATTTTTTATTGCCTAAATTTTTCTCTATTCTTCCTTTTTATTGCAATTTATTCTGCACTTTTTACCAGTTATTCTCCATTCTGTAAATCCCATGCATCTAAACCCGCTTATATTTTGCACAATGACATATTATATTTTTTGGTAAAATGGAAATATTTAACCTTTTTTTTTTATTGCAGTTTTTCCAGTGAGATGATTGACTTTTGATAAACCAGTTTGCCAAAAACATGCTAGAGTTGTTTAAAAATTTCCTAGTTATCACATTAAAAAATGTTTGATTAAATTTCATTCTTAAAGAATTAACTTTTTAGATACATTTCTTCTGACTGTGAGTAGGCACTTAAAGAACTTTTAATTTCTTCATTTTATTTACAATAAAAAAAATTTAAAAGAATAGTTCACAACTTCACCGATCTTTTCAAATTATTTTTTTTTACATTTATTATGAATCCATAACATCCAATGACATATTATCAACAAAAAAATATTTCATTCTGTGATTGTAGGCATGTTTATGGAAAGCCTCAGCTGTCATATATTAGAGATTTACAAAACGTTATGCTGAAGCTTAAAATGTAAAGTTAAGACAGCGTGATGTTGAATTGAGTCACCAAAATGCTAACTCTAAATTACAATATGCTAAGTTGAATTTGCGCAATGTTGACTTGCAATGACAAGTGCTTTAGTCGTGATAGTATAATGATAAGTCACGATGTTGTGATGATATGCCAAACACGCGTAATGTTGGGTTTAAAGTACATGATGTAAAGTTGACGTTGCATGGTGTTAGCTTGCAGATTGATACTGCTCAGTCATCCATATCGAAAGCTATGATTACAAATAAAATGAATAGCTAAAATGTATGGTGCTGACTTGTTATTAATAAATGTTGAGCTGAGATAGTACGATGTTATATCATTGTGATATTACGATTGGTCTATCATGCAATCTGTTGATTTAAAACACCATGATGCACAGTTGAAAGTACATGATGTTAAGTTAAGATAACACGATGCTACACCACTATATTGAAACGAAAGCTTTACCATACAATTTGTTGACTTAAAACAACACGATGCAACGTGTTAAGCTAAGATGCTCACTGGAAACTACAGGACGTACAGTTGAAGTTTTGTAATGCTAAGCTACGATAGCATGATGTTATATCATTATAATGTCACAATAGGCTTATTATACAATTTGCTCATTTAAAACTACACAACGTACAGTTGAAAGTACTTGATGTTAAGCTAAGATAGCACGTTGTTATATCATTAGAATGTTACGATAGGCTTACCACACGATATGCTCGTTTAAAACTACACGACGTACAGTTGAATGTACGTGATGTTGAGCTATGATAGCAATATCTTATATCATAATAATATCACGATAGGCTTGCCATACAATATGCTCATTCAAAACTACACGACGTACAGTTGAAAGTACGTGTTGTTCAGCTGCGATAGCACGATGTTATATCATTATAATGTCACGATAGGCTTATTATACAATTTGCTCATCTAAAATTACACCACGTACAGCTGAAAGTACGTGGTGTTAAGCTAAGATAGCACTTTGTTATATCATTAGAATGTCACGATAGGCTTACCACACGATATGCTCATTTAAAACTAAATGATTTTCAGTTGAAACTAGGTGATGTTATGCTAAGATAGCACGATGTTATATCGTAATAATATCACGATAGGCTTGCCATACAATATGCTCATATAAACTACACGACGTACAGTTGAAAGTACGTGTTGTTGAGCTAAGATAGCACAATGTTATGCTAAGATTGCATGTTGTTATATCATTTGAATGTCACGATAGGCTTACCATACATAATGCTCATTTAAAACTACACAACGTACAGTTGAAAGTATGTGATATTGAGCTATGATTATAGCACGATGTTATATCATAATAATATCACGATAGGCTTGCCATACAATATGCTCATATAAACTACACGACGTACAGTTGAAAGTACGTGTTGTTGAGCTAAGATAGCACGATGTTATATCATTATGACGTCACGAGAGGCATATCATACAATGTGTTGACTTGAAACTACACGATGTAAATTTGAAGTAGTTTGGTCTTGACTTGAAACAGTAAAATGTTAAGTTATAAAAACAGAACGTAAAGTCAAAATAAAACAATGATAGGATGACATATACTTGTGCAGAATTGAAGATTTTTGGTGTTGACTTCGAATATATGCAAATATTAGATCGTTTTATGTTAAATTGAAAGACAATAATGATGCGTAAAACATTACAGAATTATGGTAATTGAAACTGTAATTCTATGGAAAAAATGATGGACAAATCCCCAGGATTTTTCCTTCTTCATTTGCAAGTTCGGAGGCAAAATGATATACAAAGAAAGTTTTCCATAAATTCATAAAGCAAAAGAATTACCCATCGCTATATATTACACTTGAATATAGTTTTGCCGTATATTTTACATGTTTTGTTTGGATTTTTGTTTATGATTAAAAACCAGACTTTTTTTATGAACATTATTTAAGAAAATATTTTTCTATGTTGTGTGTTAATATATACAACATAATATTGTGCTTATAAGACTCATGACTGTGAGGGTCAAATTTTACTCATATAAAATCACATCTCTGTAAGAGTTAGCGGATAATTTGTATTTACCACTCCCGTTTTCCACGAAATAAAATATATAAATCTGGAGTCTTAATCTTAAAAAACAAAGAACAACTGATATGACAAATAAAAGGATTGTAGCGCAGGACTGAGAGGGTCAGAGCTATATCAGAATGTGAACCCCCCCGGTCTTGTTAGAGGTATCTGAAAATTTGAATTTTCTTTTCCATGAAATAAAACAAAAGAAT